TGTAAGCTCTTGCATTCCGTTGCAGGGCTTACTTTGGTTTATGGTTTTATTTCCGTTTCCTTTCCCGCTGCTGTTGCTGCTGCTGCAACATCATAAAGCAAACATCATACATTGAATTTAAAGAAGTACCGCACTGTAACCCAATAAAGGAATGCCAAAGAGCACAATGGGATGCCAGCAGAGAGATTATCATATAAATGGATAATAAAAAGAAAAAGTGTCACCTGAATGGGCCAGCTTAGATCAGGCACACAATGAGCTAAAGGGGATTACAATAAGTATGAGGTCGCTATTTGGAAATACCTTTGATTGGGGCAAAAACATACCTGCATACACACACACACAAATTTAAGTTTTGAATATTTAACATATTTATATTAATATAAGACTAAAGTAATTGACTGACGGACTGGCTGACTGACTTAACGGTTCTCCAACGTCCAGACGAAACGGCTGAAGCTTGAAACTTGAAATTTTGAGTGAGGGTCACCCTTGGTCCAACGAGCTCAGATAATGCTTGATTTTTGAAACTTCGTACTAGGACGGCACGAAAAAATGCTAAATATGGTACCCTTTATATTTGAGGAAGCAGTAGAGCTAGAACTCTTAAATTGGAATGAGGGTTACTGATTGAGTACTAATGGATAGATGTAACAAAGGGTTTTTGGAAATTCCCACTATAAGTGTACGAAAAGTACTGGAATGTACTACATTTGGTACCATTTCGTATCATGTGAACTGTTAGAGCTAAAAACTTTAAATTTGAAATGGGAATCAAGGTTGAAGAGTTGAGTCGATGTAAGTGGGTAGTTTTGGAAGTGTGTTCTTATTGTATACCAAAAGTACTAAAAGGTACTAATTTTAGTACAATCTGAAGGAATGGATGAAGCTGGAATCCTGAAAATTTTAACTTACATTATTAGTTTGGGATATGTAGGAAGATTCGAAATTTGTACTTATGTACACAAAAAGCACTTAATGGTTTGGTACAATTTCGTTTTGGGTGAACATATAGAGCTGGAATTCTGAAATTTAGAAATAATATTACTTTTGCATTCTAGGACTGAGGAATGTAGGTAGTTTTGGAAATTCTTACTAATGTGTAGTAAATGGTACTAAATGTGGTACAATTTAAATTTAAGGAGAACCAATAGAGCTGGAATCTAAAATTGGGAAGTAAGATTACTATTGCATTGTACGACTGAGGTATGTAGGTAGTTTGGACTGAGGTATGTGCACTAAGTGGTAGTAAATTTGGTACAATTTAAATTTCAGGTGAACCGGTAGATTTGGAATTCTGAAACTTGAAAATAAGATTTTTTTGGAATGTACTCGTATGATGTAGGCATTAATGAAAATTTGTACATAGGTTTACTAAATGGTAATAAATTTGGTACTGTTTCAATTGGTATCCTGAAAATTGGGAATAGGATTACAGTCGAAGTGTAGGATTGGGATACGTAGGAAGTTTTGGAAATTTGCATTTGTATACACTAAAGCTAAATCCTGAAATTTGGAATTAAGATTACTGTTGAAGTGTAGAATTGGGTTATGTAGGTTATGTATGTAGTTTTAGAAATTCGTTCATATCTGCACTATGTATTTAGGTGAACCTATAAGGATGGAATGCCGAACTTTGGAATTGGCTGTGGGATTGTAGGATTATGGTATTTAGGAAGCTTCGCACAATTTGTATTTAGGCAATTCGTACTTAGATGAACAGACAGGAATAAAATACTGAAATTTAGAATTGGGGTTACTCTGGGAGTGTAGGATTGTTGTATGATTGAAGCTTTGGAAATTCGTACATATGTTTACTAAATAGTACTGAGTTTGGAACAATTAGGTTTTGGGTGAACCGATGGAGCTGGAATCCTGATACTGGGAAATAAGATTTCCATTGGATTGTATGATGCAGGTTGTGTGGAAATGTGTACTTATGTGTACTAAATGCTACTAAAATTTGTACAAATCGGAATTGTGGTGCATCGATAGAGCAGGAATTCTGAAATTTGGAAATTACATTTCTATGAATTTAGTGTAGGATTCGAACTTTAATGTTACGAAAAGTTCTAAAATAGTAGTAGACTTCTAAAGTGGTACCATTAGTTTTTATATGAACAGATAGAGCTAAAAACTTGAAATTTGATATAGCAATGAAGGTTGGAAAGTAAGTTTGATATATGAAAGTGGTTTTGGAAATGTGTACTAAGTGTAAGAACTGTACCAAATGGTACTAAACTTGGAACAGTTTTATTAAGGGTGAACAGATGAAGCTACAATTTTGAAATTTTGTACTGGGGTACCTTTTGGTGGTAGATTTGTGATGAAAACGTTGTTTTGGAAAAGTGTACTAAAAGTGCATGAAAAGTACTAAATAGTACCATATTTGGTACAATTTGGCATCGGGTGAACCGATGATGTTTGAAATTGAAATTTGATCTTTAAATTACTGTACTAAATAGTACCAAAATGGGGTATTGGCTGAAGGGATAGGGATGGAATCCTCAAATTTTGTTATTGAGGTCTCTTTTGGCATATGCAATTGAGATATTGAGGTAGTTTTAGAAATGTGTTCTGTAATAATGCGAAAAGTACTAAATTACACTAAATTTGGTATCGAGGGAAAGAATGGACCTGAAATCCTGAAATTTGACATAAATGTCATTGTTGGTTTCTGTGGTTAAGGGAAAGAGCTGGTTTTGAATATGCGTTCTATAATTATACTAAATGGTATTAATTTTGGCAATGGCAGATAATCAAGATCTTAAATCCTGAAATTTGTTATGGATATCACTTTTGATGTCTGTGGTTGCGACAAGGAGCTAGTTTTAGGTATGCGTACTAAAATTGTACTAAACGGTACTAAATTTAGTAATGGGGAAAATTACAGGGCTGAAATCGTTAAATTTGACATTGGGGTCTCTGTTGGTATATGAAATTGAGATATGGAGGTTGTTTTGGAAATGTATACTATAATTGTACGAAATGTACTAAAAAGTACTACATTTGATATTGGGTGAAAGATTAGACCTGAAATCCAGAAATTTGATATGGATATCAGTGTTGTTGTCTGCGGTTGGGAGAAAGAGCTGGAGAAATTAAAAAGCTTAAATCCTGAAATTTGTTATGTATGTCACTGTTGGTATATGAGCTTGACATACGATTTTTTTAGAAAAAAGGAAGAAATGGAGCTTAATTCCTGAAATTTGATATCTGTGGTTGAGAGAAGGAGCTGTAATATCAGGGCCACTGTTGGTATCTGAGGTTGAGATTGTTTTAAAAAATATGGAGATGTATGGAGATTGTTTTGAAAAAATGCATACATTAACTGTACGAAAATAACTAAATGCTACTAGGTTTGGAATTATGTGAAGGGATAGAGCTGGAATCCTTAAATTTGATATGGATGTCACTGTTGGTGTTTGCGGTTGAGATATGGAGATTGTTTTGCAAATGCGTACTATAATTGCTAGAAAAGTACTGAATTGTACTAATTTTGGATATGCGCACTAAATGTTACTAAATTTTGTATTCGGTGAAGGGACAGAGCGGAAATCCAGAATTTTGATTTTGAGGTCACTGTTTGTTTATAGGGTTTCCATATGGAGGCGCTGAAATAGTTTAGGACAGAAAAATTGAATGTGGGTCCGTTGTGCAATGATTTTACTTTAATATCATCCTCAATAAACTTCAAAATGAAAAATGTTTAAGACTTTTTGCCGTAAAAAGGCAAACTGTTTTCGATTATCCTTTTCGAAAGAGGAACGAAACGTGAATAATATATAATACCATGATAGTCTGAAAATTTGGAACGAATTATGAAGTTTTGATTGAAGATTTTATCAAATTGGACAAATAATGTATTTTGAGTACTAAAAGGTACTTACACGAACTGTTGAAATAAATCTAAAATATTAGGGTGAACTTTCCTCTGGCAAAGTAGTGTGCACTTCCTAATTAATCTATATTTGGTTGCAGAATGGACAAGGTGCTGAAAGGCAGTGTTAGCCCACGTTTTCATACTCTCAAACAAAAGGAAAGAATATTTTCCGTCTGTAATGGTATCAATTATATTAAGACCGTTATAAACAAAATTTAAATAAATCTATTAAAACTACTACCCATTGTGCCAAACAGGAGCTACTATTTTCTCGTTCAAAATAAAGAAATCACAGAACACCACAACAGTTCCATTCGACCTAAAAGTATGCTGTGATTTTTGTTTATGCCTATGTCGCGTTACTAACTCTGTAATGGTCTCATTTCTTTTGCAGCAAATACCGCACACGTACACAATACCAGCCAACGACGCACTAGCCTATTCTACATTTTTGTCTTGAGGGAAATTCAAGTTTTCTTCCTGTTGTCAGTGCCTCTATTACGTTTCTTCAGCCATAATTTTCCTTTCCCTGACTATTCCTTCCTAATTTTATTTACTCAACTCTCAGGTCGACAAACACCCACCCACCAGCTACAAACCCACACAGCTTTCCACGCCTTATTCACGTTATTCACAACTTGTGCTGCTGGAGGTTTCTTGAATTCCCTTTTTGTGTTCATAGCCTCTATTTCAAATGACATTTCATTGCATTTCTATGCCATATATTTTCTATGCTGTGCTGTTGTTGTTCTTCTTTTTTCAGCTATTTTAATTTATGTGACAATGGAAGATAAATTTCATTTTTTTTTTTTTCGAAAAAAAAAAAAAAAAACACAAAACAGAGAAACACGATACCAAATACCAGTGGAGCAGTCTTTTATTGTCTGGTACAAAGTGAAAATGGTTTTGAGAAACTTGCGTATTTAATGAGCCGCGGCCTTAGTTAAGAATTAATAGTGGAAAATTCCAAAATGAATGAAGGAAAGGAGTTCTCGTTGAAAGTGTAAATAAAATATTTGTTCTTGGAATTCACTATAAATTTTAATGTAAATGCGTTTCATGGGAACTAGCGAAGTATCATCGTTTATAGTTATAAATTAAATAGTTTTGTTCTTACCTTTGATGCTGGGTACAGAAGTAGTGGTTAGGTGCCGTTTCATCTGAAATGGAAAATTAAATATATTTTATTTAAGTGACTCAAAGGCATTTAAAGTTAGGTAACAATGTCTACGCCACATTGTTATTTTTTATTTAATGTTTAATAATAATAATAATAATAACAAATACGGTTAACAAATAAACGTTTATATTGGGAATGTATGTGAAGTAGTTCATGCCAAATTTTAACTTTTTCGAAATCGAATGAAACATAAATATGGGAGTTATAGCTATAACTGAACAGATTCTCAACAGAAATTTGAAAAAATTCACTCCATTTGGACTTATATTTAAAACTTGGGGCACAATTAACATGAAATCGGATAAAGTTATAAATATCCAAATCTGAATCGATATTCACCAAAATTTTCAGAAATATTTCTGGACTAAACTTGGCCTGACTGACTAATATGAACCCTCCGGCTATGTGCGTTCATCTATATTTATATATAAAAGGGTAGTGAGATAATTGACTGACCAAAAATCAACGCCCAAACGAAATGTCTGAAGCTTGAATCTTGAAATATTGCACTAGGGCCCTGAAAAAAAACTAGGTAAATAGTATTAGTCATGTACAGGGTGAGATGAAAAAACGACAACCAAATTCAGACTGCTGTCATTTCTAAGCCACTCGCCCGACAGCTGGTAAAATTATTCCAGTGACAGCTCATTATATTCCTTACAAGCGTACAAAAGCATTTTGGTGAGAATTTTCCAAAAACAAAGTTATTTGTGATGGAATTCAAGCGTGATAGTGTGTTTTTTTATATTTTGCTGGAAAACCACAAGTGGCTATCGTTAGAGTACTGCAGCTTTAAATGTGAATACATATTTTGTGTCTCGTACCATCGCTCATTACCGTGATACTGGTAGCGTAGGCCGGCGTCAAGGAAGTTAATGGAAAAAAAAACAGCAACATCAGAAGAAATGGTTCGAAAAGTAAAGAAGCGACTTGATCGAACCCCGAAAAATGATTTGTGAGCTGAACATATCGCAATATTCCATTCGGCAAATATTGAAAAATGAGCTCAAGGTAAAGCCATTGCAATTCGAAAAAGTGCAAGAACTTACACCGTAACAGAAAGAAAATAGACTCAAAAGAGCTAAAGATTTGCTTCGCTTGGTCGAAAGTGGTGAACTGGCGAATTTGATTTTCTCCGATGAGAAAAAATTCTTTGTCTAGTAGTTTGTAAACAAACAAAATGATCGTCTTTGCTTGCCAAAGAGGTCATGAAATTGTGCATCTTTGGTTGGCCACCAGAACTCAAGCGCCGGCCATGGTGATTGTGCGGGCCGCCATAACAGCTGACGGTCCCTCTCCGCTCGTATTAATCGACCGTGGCATCAGAATAAATGCCGAATATTATCGCGAAAATATTCTGGAGGGTGTATGAAAGCCTTGGGCACGCAAATATTTTGGCTGCAGACCTTAGATATAGCAACAGGACTCAGCACGCGCCACCCAAGAATGGTTACAAAATAAGGTTCTCGCTTCATTTCCAGCGCACAATGGCCACCAAAATCTTCGGAAACCAATCCGTTGGACTATTGTGTCTGGAATATTTTAAAAAGCAAGTTTGGCACTAAAAAAATACCAAATTCGCCGGGAATGGGCCGAAATACCTCAGTGCAACATTAGGGGCAGCGTGTGACTATTTCATTGGCCATTTAAAGGCCATAATTCGTGCCAAAGATGATCAATTCGAAAAAATCTAAACTTAAAACTAAACCTAAAATCTCATTTCTTTATTCAATAAAATTAAAAACAAAATGTAAAACTTATGGCATTTGACTATGTTGCAGTTTTTTTTATCTCACCCTGTATATTATTAAATGTTTTAACGATTAATGGTCCATCCGCTTGGTCAATTTTTTCATACTCTTTCTAAAATTTCGGGCGATATCTCATGCATAAATTATACAAGATTGTTTTCCAATGCATAAATTGAAGCCGGCTATTCCGCGTAGGCATGAGCTGTAAGATAACCCCAAAAAAGGTCCAAAACTTATGTCAATTTTTACGCGTGTTGTGTGGCATCTGGAACCGTCTTGTTTAAACTACATGTCATGCAAGTCAAGCTCATATTAGACAGTGGAAAGAATTTGAAAATCTCACGGTATCGCTTTCCATTCATAGTTACATTACGATTCGCAGCATCTTTGAAGAAGTAGAGTCTAATGATGACACCAGCCCATAAACTGCAAAAAACTGAGACATTTTCTGGTTGCATCGATAACTTTTGCAATGCTTCAGCATGATACTCACTCCAAAATCGACAATTTAGCTTACTTATGTACCTATTTAGCCAAAATTGAGCTGGCCATAAAATGGAAAGCTTTACAAATCTGATGAGTCCCAGTTTTTTTTTTTTTTTTTTTTTTTTTTGGAAGAATTTTTCTTCAAATAGCTGTCCTATCTTTTCGGCATTATGACTGGTGCGGCCCCAAATTCAAACCAGATCACCTGTAATTTGATATTTCGGGTCAATTTGGGTAAATTAACTCCTCTCACCGAATAGATAATATAAGTATGGCCACCATATAAAATCACCTCCAAATTTTAGGGATTTGGCCATAAGTCAAGTTTTACGTTGTTCCATCCGATCAAATTAAACGTTATTTCTACTTGTTTTATTTCTAATAGTGATCGACAGATACTACTTATGCACACAATACTACTTAAGCACCACCATAGTATGGAGGGTATATTAAGTTTGTCATTCCATTTGTAACACCTCCAAATACACATTTTAGACCCCACAGAGTATATATATTTTTCATCAGCTTAAAATTCTATGTCGATTTAGCGATGTCCGTCCGTCTGTTCGTCTGTGGAAATCACTCTAGCTTCCGAACGAATTGAAGTAGATTGATAAAATTTTCCTAAAATCTATTTTATGTCTGCAGGACTTGAGGTATTTAAAATAGGCCATGTAGGTTCACGTTTTGGTATAGCCACCATATAACTGTACCTCCCGATATGCTGTACTTTGATGATTTTAGCGATATTTTGCACCGGAATAGTTTCAAATTTGGTATTTAAAGTTCGTAATGGATACTGCAGCCTAAGGCAGAAAATTGTCTGTGCAGGTCCACCTCTTCGTAAAGCCCTCATATAACGGTACCTCCCGATATTCAGTATTTGATTTTAACGACATTATAACCAATGTTTTTTAAGTTTCGCATTTGAATATTGTAATGGCTTTTATTGGTTATTCCTAAAAAAGTGTCTCATTTTCCTTATTTTTTTCTTTTATTTAAATTTTCTAAAGAAATTTAATTACTCAAATAAGCGTCTCAAGGCAAACTTAAATTGATGAAGTTCAAACATTCTACAAATATTTCACTGCGTCAAAGAATCCAAATTAGTTCACATTGCTGGCCACGAAAACGCGTATGCCTCGAAGTCATTTCAAAATGGCTCATTACATCAATGTTATTACTGTCATGTCCGCATTTTCCCGCAAAATATCAATTTGCAATAAATGAAAAGTCATAAAAATAATCGTCGTTTTTCCAAAATTTGCCAACCACAATTGCCAATGGAAAAAAGTGTAAATAAATAAAACAAGAATTGCCAAATAAATTTCCATTCAAAAACTTCTAAAGAGGTTAATCTTGAGGGCACTGAGGATGTTCATTAAAAATTCATTGAACAGTACTTGGCCAAATGGGATTTCATTTCCATTGATATCGATGACAAGCCCCGCTGCTGCTGCTTCTCCTTCTTCATGCCAATCATGGGAAAAACAGAAACAAAACAAGAAATTCATAAAATATTTCAGTCAGAGAGCAATTTCTAAACAATTTCACTCAACAAATAAATTATGAATGCTGCCCCCCTGAGGCATGGGGTGCTGGCAAAAAATGGCAAAGCTCTGTTTGCCACAGATATGAATTGAACTATTGTGCGGTGTTATCCCTTTTCTGCACTGGGTTTTTCTTCTTCGTCTCAAGTCTCAAAAGAAATAAATATCCCAACAAAATGAATAAAAGAAAGCAAAGTTAAAAGAACAATAAATACACAACAAATGCGATAGTAAATGACACACTCAGGGGGATAGTGGCAGCACATGGTTGTCTCTCCTCTCTGTCGCACCACCTCTGCTACTGTTTTCATTTGTAAAAAGATTTTGGAATAACACAGATAACCTTGTGCCAACTCCAGTCAAGTATTGGGGAGAAAAACATATTGCAACACTTATACAGCCCCCCCTCCATCTCCCCCTCACATAAATAATAGCACAGCGAACATCTTTTCCATTTCTCTCAGCACTTGCTACTTTAGAATTTTTAAGCTAGTCATACTTTGGATACTTTTGAGAGTCCCGAACAATTTCCGAGGCAATCAATCTTGTTAACATAATCATGGCGCCGCCACAAAGTCTTGAACTTCAAGACTTCAGCAGTGTGAACATTCCTTTTGGATTGGCCACTTAAGCAGAACACACGGTCATGGCTGCAGGAATTCTTTCCTCTTTTTTGGGAGATATTGTATTCAGAATATCGAACGAAGACAAAAAGCAAAGCTGAGGTTAGCCACGCAGCCAATAACTAAGTAAAGATGTCTGTCAATTCTTTAAGTTGTTCAAGTGTTTCAACATTACCTGTCCCAATCCCCCCCAAAAAAACTACGAACTTGGTCAGTGAGGTGTCAAAAAGGCATGGAACTTGCTTACCTCTCTTTATCAGCTACAAAAGTTAACACAGCTCAACAGACAGACACTCGGAAAACAAGCTTCTCTCTTTCTCTCTTTAATTCCTAGGAGGAAGGAAGGACGGAAGGAAGCAACTCAAGTCAAGCCTCCAAGCCTACACTCAGGAAAAACACAAGGTATTAAATGAGGCTTTAGGGAATTTTGCGCATAACTTGACGCCTTAATGCAGCAGATACACGCAGCAGCAACAACAGCCCCCAATCTCCGTTTGCCCATAAACAGCGACGTGAGCCACATTCGAAATGTGTTCTCATCGTTCGAAGGTACAGAGGTGGCTTGTTTGG